TGTTTTGTCCTATCGTATCTATCATATGTTGTTGCCTTATTATAAAAATATGCTATACATTTAAAATAAATTTATTTAAATTTTATAGTATATACTTATATATAAATACATTCATGAATGTTTTTAATGAATGGATTTTATAATAATACAAATAGCAATGTATTTTACCATATTTAGTGCAACACTTTTATTTGTTCCCCACAAAATATTGTTTTTTCACTTAATGTTTGGATTTCTAAAATTATTGTGCACTGATTTTTCTAGAATAACTTTTGCTGCCGAATTATCCACTAACCTAGTTTATGATAATTTTTTGTCATAGATTATAAATATACATAGGCCTATATTTTATCATATTTGTTTATTTTATTTTTCTTTATAATGAAGTAGTCTGTATCTAGTAGATTGTGAAAGAATGATTATCAGTTCCACACACAGAGATATGTAAATTCTACATTTATTTAAATGAGGGAAAAAAACTTCACTGGTATCGGATCGGTATCGGCCAATACCGAACCCTAGGTATCGGAATCGGTATCAGAGGCGAAAAAGGCGGATCGGAGCATCCCTAATTCAAACCTTGTGAAACAGAAGTGTGCTCAAACCTTAAAAATGGATTTAAAAACAAAAAAGCCTTGCAGATCATTTCAAATAACGAAACAAAAAGCCAGTTAAGTGTACTTAAAATGAAAATGTCTTTATGACTATGCTTCTTAACACATTAAGTATACTTTTAAAAACTAATATTTAAATGTAATTAAAATCTTAAAATACATTTAAAATCTTTCTTTTTAATAATCTTTTGCCATGCTTTAAAGATGTATACTTTTATGTCTTGACTAAAATTTAAAAGCACATTTAAATTACTTAATAGTTTTTTTTTACTTTAATTACATTGAAGTTTTAGTTTACCATAAATGCTCATCAGTACTGTACACTGAGAAAAATTATAACATTTAAATTAACTAGTTTTATTCACAATATTATTTAGCAACACTGAATCAACATAAATACAATAATTTACACTAACAAAACCATTTTTTATGGATTAAATCAGGTAAAAATGGCTTTTTAAGACTTTTTGCAGTGTACACACCAATATTTCATTATACCCATATTATATTATTATACTATTATAACCATATTTCAGAGATAACAGAATTATTCAATTACACATAAAGATGTACTTAAGTGGGACAAACAAAAGTAGTTTTGTTCAACTAATTGCATTTAGCATCAATTTAACTATAATACGTTTTCATTTAATTACAGTTGACATGCAATTAAGTTCCCGAATACATTACATTCAATTCCACTTAAGCAGAGAAAAGGATAAAGAAAACAGCTCCAATTTAGACTGTAATCTGTGTGTTTTGGTACAATGCATTAATTTTTTTTTTTTTTTTTTTTTTGTGCTGTTTCGTGTTTGGTGCACATTTCTCACAACACGTCTCACAATGATTGCATATTACGTCAGCAGTAGCCAGTTTTTTGTGGCTGTACAAATGGATTTGACCACATGAGTGTCTACACTATGAAAGCAATCTGGCTGAGTGGATGAGCTCATAACATTTTAGACCCTGTTTACACCTGTATTTAGCATTATCCACTTGCAATTAGAACTTAATACCAGGTGAAAACAGGGCCTAATGAGGACTACATTTCAGTATAGATCTTTAGGCAAACAAATGATCTGCACTGCATAAAAGCTCAAAATACTCTAAAAGGGCTGAGGAAAACAGGCAAAAATATCTCATAATAAGGCAACATATTTATATTATCTATAACACGGCTTGACAGAGCTTGCTTACCTCAATTGTGCAGAGACTTGAGAAGGGCAAGATATTTTAATGGTTCGCTTGGCTGAATTTTACAGTGCAAACAATTTGTAAGGGCAGGCGAGCTGTGGACTAGGGGTGAAATATGAAGGCTTTAGTGCTGGGCCCCTGGCTTTGCATTAATACTGGTGGTTGAACTGCAAGTGGAGGTGAGAAGAACGCCATTTGGAGGCTTTGGATTCTCACTGAAGACGGTGATACTAAAGGGATCACACATATAGAACCAGCAGACATAAACACAAGTGCACTGAAAGAATTTAGAACAGAACTGTAAGCCTGCACAAGAAAAGGTTTAAACATCCAATTTTCTGGATGTTTTGCATGCAGTTATACACATAATTCTTATGCCACATATGGAGCTCCCTGGACAGACTTGCTAGCTTTACAATCCTATGGAAACTCGTGCTTGTAACAAAATTGGGCTTCTAAATCTTGGCCGACATAATTTGCGGCTTCCGGAGCTTTCAGAGCAAGAGGATGTACAAATATTCCGACACGCCACATAATGAAAGAAGCAGCAGCGGTGGAATCAAACCACTTTCTGAATTCCGCCTTTAGCAAGAGTGGGATTATTTTCAGTTCGCCAGAAACATTAAGATTAGCTCAAGCTGTGAGTAATGGTTCCAGGCATTAGGGGAAAAGAAATAATGCCAGTGAAACCAAGAGCTCCAACAGGAGAACACATAGCAGTTTACAACTAGACAGCATCAGCCAGACCAGACTATGAATTGTGGGAACAAATCTAAATCAAGCCTTTAGCAAAAACAAAAACATAATATATGTGGCACTAATGATCACACAATGTACATACCACAGACATTGCTAATGACATATGATTCAGGCTTAAAAATAGATATTTCAGACTATTTCATGCCATCAGCCAAAGTGAAAATGGACAGGACTGATTTGAAATGCAAGCTGCAGAAGTATCATTTCCCTACAGTCTGTTTTGGTGCAGTATAATTATATAACTAACAAAATTAAAGCCATAATTGATTTCCCTAGTGAGGACGCATGGCATTTTGTGTGTCATAGTAGTGCAGGTCTATCAAATGTGTCTTGCCCTCTGTTTGTCAAAATGACCATCTGTTAAATTTGCTTAGATGATCCAAAAATCATGTCATTATTGACTCACCCATACACTCTTAAAAAATAAAGTTTGCAAAGGGGGGTTTTCACAGCGATGCCATAGAAGAACCATTTTAGGTTCCCAAAAGAACCTTTCGGTGAATAGTTCTTAAAATGTTGTTCCAAAACTGTATGAGTTTCTTTGTTCTGCATAACACAAACATTGACTTTTCAAAGAACATTTTTGTCAATACAATAAAAGTCAATGGGGTCCACATTTTTTTGTATGTTTTATGTATAAACTAAAACATAATCTTGTGAGCTGTGCAGAAGAAAGTAAGTCATACAGGTTTGGAACAACGTGAGGATTGAAAGACAGAGTAAATGATGACAGAATTTTCCTTTTGGGGTGAACGATCCCTTGAAGAGGAATATTTCAAATCAAAAAGCAGCACACTCCTGTCTAAAAGAGAAGAAAGCCTTGCCAAAATCACACAAACAATGTGGGAGAGAAATAAAAAAATGTTTTTAACATGTCTCAATTCTATGTAGAAGCTCCCCATGGGGAAAGACTTTGATCTGGAAGCTGAGGGCTTCTCTATATTCCACAGCATACTGGCCTGTCACATTCTATGTTGATCTGAAACAGGTGGGCTGCCTCTGTAGTGAGAGTAGGAGAGCGTTTCCATGAGAACTGTGCTTGCTAAGTATTCACAGCCAGAATGAAAACTATGTAGCGCTTACTAGTTACGCGGGGCCAGCACGAAACATTTAAGACGGAATTGTAGCTATATGCGTAGAGAATAGAAACTCAATTGAACCGTTCTAGTACAAGAGTAAAGTCGATCTTACCTGCTCTGACAGACTGAGGTGCGTTAACAGAGGTTCTAACACTTTTAGTTAGGCATAGCTCCTCTATAGGCTGTGAGGAATTTGACAAGCAACTTTGCAACTGAAAAAAATTACGTATGTTTAAATAAGGAATGTCTATACAGTCTTTAATACATTTGGGATATCTGAACGTGACAGTTTCTTTTCATAGAATCGTCCTTTCTGACAGTAACCTGAAAACATGGAGGCTGCGTACTGTTACTCATTTGTAGCAATCGAAATCGCTATGTTTGTGTATACTACTAAACCTGCCGACTGGTTGGTAACAATGAATAATACTGTATTAATTGTATTGAAATGTGGTGTGGTGAATAAATTCGTTGTACTTACGAAGACGGGGTGTGGATTCCAGTAGACTCCAACAGTCGCTGTAGACTTGCTCTTCTGTAGTTCGGTTTAATTCACAGTGAGTGAGCTCGGTGCGCGCGGCTCATGTCTCCACGGAGCAGCGGTGATGCGCGCGAGCTGTACAGCGGTGCAGTTCTTGATTTGACAGTTCAGACAATGAAAACAACTAACATAAACACGCACAATCCAAGCAAGTTGTAGACTCGAGGCGAGGCGGATTTATGAAACTATATCGCGCGACTAGACACAAGAGCGTCTTATGGCAATTGTGTCTTAGAACCCGAATTTGAATAAAAGTGATTGACGAAAGATGTTTGGTAACACCAGCTGCAGCCCATTCACATCATTCCAAACATTAGAAACAATACAATAAAATACCTGCTTCCAGCAATGGAATTCTAGGGGGTGCTGAAAAAATAAGCGTTCTATACGAAAAAGCGGAGACTATATTATACATTTGGGGGAAGTGTAAGAGAAAAGAAAGCGTATTAGGAGAATGATGAGAGCCGCACATGGCCGTGTGGCGCCAGAGGGAGTGAATGAGAAGATGCTAACTATACGCTCGCATCATCAGCCAAGCCATGAGGATGGAGGAGACGGGCGGAGTATGCTGGAAAAGCTAGTATGGAAATGAACACTGTTTTTTTTAAATCGGCGAATGGGATTGTGCAGAAAGACGAGACTGGGTGCAAAAAGCGGCTTTTTTTCTGCTGCGTGGACTGCAGAAGGAGGGGAGGGGACATTTTGCTATACAGGTTTGCCGGAGTGTCGCTAGCAGGCAGAGCGAGCCAATACGGGACGATAATTCATCAAATTGGCACTGATGTAGCACAGACACATTAGAAATGCTAATCACTTTGGCTAGAGCGTAAAAACACGTGCACATCAGAAGAGCTCAATCAATTTTGTACCCTCTGACCCCTCTACTGGTGTCCACTGATTCAATAATGACACTTAGCAAACAATAACTGTAGTGGTCCAACGGTGAACAGCGGTTGACTGAATCTCTTGTCAGATTAGGTAGGCTATGTAATAAGAAATTAGCATCTAGTACATTTTCGTCAGGTTTTTCCCCCTCCCAGTTCAGAATATTTGTAGGCCTATATAAAAAATATCTTCCTCTATAATAGGCCTATAGGCTGAAGAATGAGCAGGGTGATTTGAAAAACTCCACTTCTGCACTTCTCAGTTTTTACATTACAGAAAATCTGGTTACCTGAAGGCACAGTCCCTATTGGCTGTGAAATGAAATTCTCATGCTAAGAAAAAAAACACCCCAAAACCCCCGAGCAGTGTTGAGCAGTAACTAGTTACTAGTAACTTAGTTACTGTAATAATATTACTTTTTGCAGTAACTAGTAGTGTAACTAATTACTAATAAGATTTCAGTAATAATATTACCGTTACCATCCATAAAACAGCTTAGTTACTTCGTTACTTTTGTTGCCTTAACCCCGCTGATTTAAAATCCAACAAGATTTATTTTCATAATTTTCATGACTCGCACATGCATGTGATGTCCCCAATGCAGCAGGCAAGCTTGGAATATGGAAAAGCTTACATTCAGCAGATAGAAATATTGTGATTGTCACTAGCAATCACTATTGAGTGCTTGTAATAACTTCTGACTGCGATCCAATGTGGATTGGTCAAATGATGAGGCAGAAATATGTTGTTAGTAACATTCTAGAAGAATTTTATGTGGAAGATACACAGTTACAACTTATGTGGGGTGTGAAAAAATTGTAATGTAACTAGTAGTGTAACTAATTACTGTTGCCAGGAAGTAATAAGTAAAGTAACAATATTACATTTGAAAGGAGTAACTAGTAATGAGTAATATATTACATTCTTTGAGTAACTAGCCCAACACTGCCCCCGAGGCATCCTAGGTGTATATGACAATATATAAAAAATTGTCTTTGATCTTTCAAGCTCTATCATTGTAGTCAGCGGGTGTTGCATTGCTTCAGTCCAAAAGAAGTGAAATAAAAAGCGCCCATCCATAAAAAAAGAGTCTCACACGGCTCCGGGGGGTGAACAAAGGCTTCCTGTAGCGAATCGATGCGTTTTTGTAATAAAAATATCCATATTCAAAACGTAATAATCACTTGAATCTAGCTTGCACTCACTGTTGTAAACGGAAACAGTTC